TCGATTTATGGTGTAGCGCCCACGCTTACGGGGCCAACAAAGAACGAAATGGATCGACACTATTACTGTACTGTTGAGTGAAGTTCCAGCATGGGCGTGGGCAGAGTTGAGTTTTCTTTTTGTTGTCTTGGGGCGCTCTTTGGTTCTTCATTTTCTTCTGCACCTCACTTATTTGCTTATTTGTGTACTGTCGTCGGGACAAATTCTCTCCTGTTTGCCTGGCGCACCCGCTTCGATGTTGCAAAAAAAAAAAAACAAGCACGACAGGCAGCGCACCGCAAAAAATCAAACAACCGTTACCACAGCTGTAACCCCTGTCCTCACTACTGTACGTCGGGACAAATTATCTCCTTGTCTGGCGCACCCGCTTCGATGTTGCAAGAAAAAAAAAACAAGCACGACAGGCAGCGCACCGCAAAAAATCAAACAACCGTTACCACAGCTGTAACCCCTGTCCTCACTACTGTACGTCGGGACAAATTATCTCCTTGTCTGGCGCACCCGCTTCGATGTTGCAAGAAAAAAAAAACAAGCACGACAGGCAGCGCACCGCAAAAAATCAAACAACCGTTACCACAGCTGTAACCCCTGTCCTCACTACTGTACGTCGGGACAAATTATCTCCTTGTCTGGCGCACCCGCTTCGATGTTGCAAGAAAAAAAAAATGACATGCACGACGGGCAGCGCACCGCAAAAATCAAACAACCGTTTTTTTAGTGCCACAGCTGTTCCCCGCCCTTACTCCGTAGCAACAAACTCCCTCATGTCTGCCTGGCGCACCCGCCTCTTGGAATGCGCTGCAATCATCGCCATCTTCGCTTTCGCTAGGTAGAGCGCCGCGTCTCCATTGCCGCTCTCCTCTGCTGCCGCTTCCAGGACGCCGAAGTGAGACGACAGTTCACCATAAGCCGGTGGGACACGGCGCGCGAGCCCCGTGTTGTCATCGCCGCTGTCCTCCTCCTCGTCCTCCTCCTCGCGGCCGGTAGACACTCGAGTCCCAGCCAGCTGTGCCGTCATGTCTTCCACCGTATCCTCTCTGAGAGCCTCAACCACTTCATCGTCGTCCTCGATGGTAGCCCACCCTTGAATCGCGTTCACCGCTTCCTCCAGGAGCGGCTTTCCGGGTTCGATGCGGAGTTCGGCGATGAGTTCGGCGATGTCCTCGTCCTCGATTTGGGTACCCTGCTTGTGCGCCTCGTGCACGCTCGTGCTCAACGTGTTGAGAGTCTCCGTGAGAGCCTTCAAGGTAGGCTCGGCGACGTGGAACTGGGACTTTCCGTATTGCTTGGTGAGCTCAGCGGCCATCTCGTCCGGAAGAGTCTCGGCTTTGACAAAGCACCTGATCCCAGGTAGCGCAGAAAATGTCATGCATACGTTTGTGGGTGGACAACAAGCGGATGTTAGATGAACCCAGGGACGATCAAAGACTCATAGGCGGGGGAGGACTCAAGTTTTTGCGAAAAGCAAAGAAGATATGTATTCGGATGTTGGAAAACTCAGTCGAAAACAATATAATCTATCCGTACAACCTTACCCACGTTACCTTTGTACCACCAAAGCTATGTGCACCAAGGCGCGGGTTGAACAGTTTACATTATAAACAGCGATTGCACATGCTCAAACCTCACCTGGCGATGTCCTGGGCGGTGACGCTGGCCCATGCTTTCTGGAGAAGTTCAGCGGCATCCCGCACGTGAGGTTGGTGCCCTTGCGCCAGCCCCATTGTCCCGGCCTTCATTTTGCGAGCTTTGGCCTCGGCACGAAGGGTGTCAGCCACCAACATGGTCGATGTCTTCACATCGAGCAGCTCCTTCCTGTAGTTGCACTTTGTCTCGGCGATGATCCCCAGATCCATAGGCTGGTGTACGGAGGTGCAGTTTGGAGGGTAGAACTTGATGGTAACTTGCCCCCGATCATCCACTAGATCACCGTGAGAAGCACAGCCGTCCATCAGAAGCAGCACAGGTTCGTGAGTGAAGCGCCGAACGAACGGGAGGAAGACCTCACACCACCACTTGCGGAAAGTCGCGGTGTCGGACCAGGCGTTGGCCTGCGAGAAGTACTTGAGAGGTGAAGGCGTGTCGTTGAAGCAGCGGGGACCCTTTGCCTTCCCGATGATGGACATGTCAACCTTTGCAGTGCCGTCGGCATTGGCGCACATGATGGCAGACAGTCGATCCTTGAAGAACATGCCCTTGGAGCCCCGCGCCGTCTTCCGATCCTCCAAGTTGGAGAGGTACGTGCGCCTGGGCATGAGCTTCCACTGGAGGCCTGTCTCGTCGACGTTAAAGATGAGCCTAGCCGGGTACTTTGCGCAAAGGGCCTTGAGTTCCTCCATGGCTTCCTTGATGGCCTCCTTGTTGACGCTACCAGCCTCGCCATGAAGTCTCACGCTGTCGATGCTGTTGCGCTTCACGAAGTTCCTGGCCCACCTTTCGCCGGCCTTGAAATCCTCGACCCTCGCCTTCACTTCCTTAGAAGCTGCTGGATCAGCCAGCAGGGTTGCCCTGGCGGCACGGCCGAAGCTTCGAAGGACGTCGCGCGTGACGGGCATCTTGGTCTTCCGGGCTTTCTCTAGTAGGTCAAGAGCTATGGCGTCCACCTATTGACCGTCAAACGAGGAGTAAACAATAAAGAGGGTACAAAAGATAGCACGATTAGTTTCGAACATTAAGCCTCGTTGCACAGTGCATCGTAGTGGGAAGGAAACATTTCCGGGCATTTGAAAAACCACAGAAGCTCGCCGCTGCATCCGCATGTGTATTTATGTATTGTAACTCGTTTGAAAGAATAGGTGTGCGTGCGATGTAATGTACCAGTACAGTACAAACAAGTACACATTTTTGGTTCGCAGTTTATATGCTGGCGCAGCAGCGCACGAACGATAAAACAACAAAGAAAGTTGAAAAAAAAGGTAACACAAAAAAAGACACAAACGAACGACGAGAGGGAATAAGCTCAACAAGTACTGTAACAGTCGAGAAATAGAAGAAACATGGGGAAAGGGAACAGAGAACAGGGAACAACTTGACAAGAGAAGAAGAAAAAAGAACAAGAACATCAGATAGACGAACAAGGCTACAGAAAAAGGTCCTTGCAAAAACGAAAACTCTTTGCAAACAAGGCCCGGCAAAAAAAAAAAGGCAAAGAAGGCGCGGGAACTACGCGTATTTTTTTAAAACAACAGCAGAGTAGCGCACCTCCGGATTATTGCCTGTGCGCACGTTTTTCTTGCTTCCTCCGCGTCCTGCAGCAGCCTCGGTCTCGTACTTCTTCCTGTTCTTCTTCACATCCCGGACCAACCGTTCCGAGCACTTGAAGCGATCTGCTAGCTGCTCATGAGTCACCTTCTGATCCATCAGCTTCAGCATCTCACACTTGGCGCTGAAATCTGGCCGCGCACGAGGCTGAGACTTGTTACTCCCCCCATTCGTGGCCTTCGGACGTTTAGATTGTGCCTTCCCAGTGCTGTCTGCTGCTGACACTTTGCGCTTGCCGGCTTTGGCGACGCACGCGCTGCAGATGCGGTGATTCTCGTTGCCTACATCAACCACACTGCCGCAAATGCCGTGCAGTCGCCCGCCACATCCTCCCTGGCAGCCGTGACCATGAGGGTCTTGCGGCGTGGTGTCCTGTAGTTGGCACAGTTCACCTTCCGCACAGGGCATGGTACGCCCCTGTGTAGAGCTGTTCGGGTCTGCAGCAGCACGTGTACCCTATTTCTGTGTGTGGAGTCTATGTTTTCTGCCCTGGGTTGTGCGTGTGTGTGTTTCGCGCGTGCGGAGTACCGGCACTATTGGGGGTGACAGCAGTGCCGAACCGGCACTATATCGGGCATGCTTTAATTAGTGCCGGTCTGGCACTATTGAGAGCTCCGCCTGTGTGCAGAGATTTTACCGGCACTATACCGGGCATCTGGCACTATTCAACCGGCACTAAAAGGGTCCCTCGACTGTACATCAACGATCCTTTGACCAATTTTCTCCCCACGCGTGTCTGATATACGCGCACTCTCCCAACGCAAGGCTGAAGCTGAAGCTGAATTTGTCACATGTACACAGCACATCAACAAGGACAACCATAGACACAGCCCTTGACAAGGACAACAGCACTTTGACATAGACAGAGCACACTTTTAGCTTCAACTTCCTTGCGGAATATTTAGCACGGGATAGCAGACCTTTGGCGGTCTTGGGGGAAAAGAAAAGCCAACGAACCTTACTGTATTGCCTACCCTGGAACTCCAAAGTTCACCGAAGAATAAGCACCATGACCACCATGAGAGCGATATCATCGCGTTGAAAAAGAGCTTCAAAAGCTTCCTGCCCGAAATCGATGGAACGACAACGAAACATTGACCCCCTATCCTAGAAGCAAAGCACACGACCTTCCCTTCGAGGACTCAAACACTCCCATCCGGAATGACCAAGGCACCAACAAACCAACCAAGAATTTGAACCGAAATTCCTCGAGGCGGGGCAGCCCACCAACTTTTCAGCAAAAGATCCCAAGTTTCTACCGAACACAGGCTATTGTTGAATGGCCTGTGTCTGTCCCCCCCATCCTCTCGAAAAAGGACAGCACGTCGCTACCAAGACTCCAGAGCCAAATAGCAACAACCGACACACCACACCGGAAAAAAAAAAAAACATCGGCATCAGAAGGCAACGCCCAAGTGCAAAAAATTCGGCACACACACACAACATCCACATGCAAAAGAAATCGAGGGCTCCGGCGAGGTCGTTTGAAGTTACAGAAAGCGCCGACGGGGTCGTTTGAAGGTGCTCGAAGCGCCGACAAGGTCGTTTGCAGTCGTACGAAGCGCCGTCTGGTCCTCCCTTCCACCTTGGAAAACCCTCGAGGTGCCGTCTCGCTCTCGCCACCACCACTCAAGGCGCCGACGTGCTCGCCTCTTCCGCCGCGAAAATTCTCCACTGCAGCGCTCCCCGTCCACCACAAAACCTCCTCCACAGCGCTTTCCGTTCACCACGACGAAACCACCACCATAGCGCACCCCTCAGGTCCCGTTCCGCCAGACGCGCCCGGACCGCATGTGCACAAGAAACCACCATGAGCCAGGCGGACCATCCACCGCCGTTCAATATTTCGCCGGCGACGGCGACACGTTGAAACGCCGCTCGAGGTTGACGAAATGGACGTTGCACGGCAAGTCCTCCTCCCGCGCCCTCGAAACCCGAGGCACCACCCCCAGCTGCCAGCCCTCCTCCTTCGATCGCACGAAAACACGCGCTCCTTTCATCTCCGCTGACAGCAAGTCCGGACTACGCTCCCATTTAGCCAGTAACGCATAACCTGGTGGCATCTGAAGGGAATTACGGGAGCGAGGTTGCGCACGGAGCGCGGCAAGCTTGTTATAGTCACAGTGTACTAATTGTCGGCACCTACTTGACGTACGGCACTGCCCACCCAATACTTGCGCACAAAATCACCATACTGCTGGATGTTTGCTGCGGATTCCCAAGTGGGCTGGCGATGCTCGCGCCAACGTGTTTTGTATTGTACCACGATGGAACCCCTTGGAGCTCTACTGATACGGTGGCCGGTGATAGCAATCGGCTGTGCCCGCTGCACGTCAAGCTCTTTTCCCACTTCGTCCGCGGAGATAGAAAACGGGGTTAGGTCTGTGAATACATGCAGCACGCAAGACCAAATCCGCCCGAAAAAAAAATCAAATGCCAACACTCGGCGAGAAATTCAGACAGATCGCGTCCTGCTACTGCTCGACCAGACCTTGGAGGATGTTTACTCCAAGCAGGCAGAGAGGGCGAACCCTCAATATACACGGCAGAACTCGCGCTTTGACGGATTTTTCTTTTGTGTTTGTTGGATCAGTCATCGTTGTTATTTTTCGCCGCCCCCGTCGGCGAGAGTAGGCGTATACTCGTCCGAGAGCGGGGACAGCCGATAGAGATGCAAGCGGCTAGCTTTCAAAGCTATCGCCGGCGTGACGCCGCTTGCGTCACTATCTTAAAGATCGGCCAACGGGGAAGCCGGCGGCGGGGAACAACTCGTTCTACTACGCCGTGATTTTCTATACTACTTTCGGTTCGGTTTTCGGTTTCGGATCGGGTTTCGAGTCGGTTTTTACAGGATTCTTCGTAAAAGGGCAAGCTTGGATTCCACGGATCAAGCGGACAGCCCCCTCTTCTCTATCGCCTACGACTCCAGGACACAAGACCTGTTCGGCTAAATTAATTACACACAACCTCGGAAGGCGCGCTCGGTCTTTCGGACTCGGAGTCGGTTCGGGTTGCGGAGTCGGCTCGGGTTGCGGAACTACACAACCTGGTAGCGTCGCACGTGTTGTACTACTATCCGACAAAGTAGGTGGGGAACTACAGTGGACGGCTCCCCGCCCCTCTCAGCACTTGAAAGGTCGGAATCACCGTATGTGTCGGACGGCGGCAGCGACGGTTTCAGCCCGTCTCCACCACCGTAAGGTTCCGACGGTTCCGTCACCAACATGCGGAAACCCTCGCTGTTGACTTCCTATTTTCCAGAGTAAGAAGGGTGTCTCACCTACCATCTCGGTATCGGATCGCGGAACGGCCCGAACGCCGGCGGATACACGTCCTCGTATGGAGAGAGCGGTATCTTTCTCCTCGCGTGCACGGCGCACGGCAGCAGCACGGGCTGCGGCGACGGCACCGAGCTGTGCACCAGCGGGGTGACGACGTGGAGACGACGCACGTGGCGAAGAGTCGTACGGCAACCGGCAAGATGGGTGCACCCCTCGTGACGACCTGGACGGGCCAATCGCAGGAGATTTGGTAGGCGAGGGAGAAGAGAGACGGGCAATGGGCGTGCCCAAGGAAAAGAGTCTACCAGAACGAGAGACTGACACGCGACAAGTCGCGCAGCCGGAAACAAACGCATTGCGAGTACACATGGCCATGACGCAGACGCACAAGTCTACAGCGGTACTTCAAACCAAAAGCCAACAACAAACAACAACGCAACGGATCGTGCACCCAGGGAAGAAACAAGCGCCTAGGACGCCAATGTTATACTTGGCATTCGGGTGCTGCTGATGACCCAATTACCCAATCAAACAAATGCAGAGTAGTGCGGCTCTGCACTACCAGGGTTCTGCGCTCGGTTCGAGGTTCTTGTCTCTTATGGATGCTTGATTGACTTTACGGATGTCGTCGAGGAAGGGAATGGACAGATAGCTGTTGAGGAAACTTGTTGTTGATTCGTCTCTCGGCGGCTGCTGGACTCGACACAGCTGCATACCAACACTGCTGTTGCTGTTCAACCTATCCACGCACACACATGCGGAACTCAACCTCTGTCTAGATCTCTGCAGTCGAACTGGTACTCCACACATGCCCACTTGACCTTTGCCCTTGCCGGTTAGCTCTCTCTTCTCTGAACTCATGGGGTTGACACAGAGCCAACTTCCTGTAAACACACACGTGTTCTCGGATAATGAAAAATTGCGCCGCATCTTAACGCCAACAAACGGGGACAAGGTCCAGACAGCCCCTGAAACGAGCCTACTTCGCACCACAGTTCCTCCGCGGGCAACCCATCCCAGAGCATCACTACGCACTGCTGGGGGGCGAGATCGACATCCCTACTCGGACGATCTAGTTACGCAGTTTTCTACCCGTTGTGCAACATTGTTCAGATCTTCAATTCACACGGACTTTCTCATGCACCGAGAGATATCTTCTCAGCCCCTTCCGCCTTGTGTGAGTTTGTTCAGTGCGGCGTCAAACCCAAACAATCACAACGCGTTTTTTTACAAAAACATCGGCTCTGTGCGATACGATCGCATACCGTAGGTGAAACATCGCAAGATACCACACCCCCTGGACCGTTTGTCAAAGCTCGACTTCTCCACGACGAAGAGGATGTGTAAATTAAACGATACGTCCTCGGAAAACTCAAGGCGAGATGGTTCCGTCGACGCCATTGTCGGCACCGCCGCTCTTCTCTGCTGTGGAGTAATCGAGCTTTGAAAACAATCCAGACGGTGTGATATCTTACGTCATCTGCGGCATGCGGCTGCCGCTGCCCCGCTTTGTAAGTGCATTCAAGACAAAAAGGGTGAACTTAGGAACGTACGTCCCATGCGCATCGCCCTGGTCGGTAAGCCACGAACTAAACTACTACTATTGAACCCTGGTAACATACCACTACATGTACTGGCTCCCAAAGATCTTCAACGGCCGCCGAGATTCATCTACCTAGCCTCTCATCCCATGTGCTCCAGGGGGATGAAGCACCCTCTGCGTCCTTTTTACCGAGACGGGCCCTTCGGCAACAGACTCCTTGATGTTGTTCGCCCATGCACATTCACGAAGCAGTCGGGTTCGTGCAAGCAGCCACCGGTCTCCTTGCGGTTGGCGCAGATCCAGAAGGCACACGCTAGATGCGAATGATGTGGGTAACGATTATTGGCGAGACACTTCCGGTACGTCTCCCCCTTCGTAGGTACCCCCGGTGTCGCCAGCTGTCGTTGCTGCAAAGCATGATGCGCCGCGAGTGCCTCGTCAACAACCGTTACCCTCATCACTGGCATCTCACGTGCGCTTTCTGAATCTGCGCCAAGTGCAAGAAGTCTGGCCACCGTAGGGCTGCTTGCACATGTCATCCCATTTATTAACAGTCGCTAGCACCATGTGTGCGGCGGCCATGCCAATGTCAAAGACTTTTTCGAGACCGCCGAGCCACATGCATCGAACCGAGCAACCCTCAGGAGTGCTGCGACCGGTGTGCGGGGGCGAAGGGGGCATCACAACACACCGTTCCTCCCAAGGTGGTCAACCCTTCCCAAGGTCCCCCTACGCCTTTCTCTCCAGCGTGTCTCCTGGCGCATTGTTGACCATTTGCGTTGGTTAGACCCATGTGGCAAGAGGAGGCGCACCGTGGTATGTACATGCACGGAGGGGCCGCTCCAGAAATCCACCAACGGTGTCATGCAGATGCTGGATGAACACACCACCTACGGGTGGGTCGCATTCTTTCGGGGCAACATCAGTGCTGCCGTCGTGGGAGAGTTCCGTGCGCGGTATTGCCTCCATTTAGCTACCCACCGCCGTTCACGGTGAGCTGCGGTGTGTTCAGACGGACAATGGCACTGCAGTGGGTTGACGACGACTATCGGGGGGGATGGTGGTGGATTCCAACACTACGCGGGAGCTAGCTGACGGCGGCATCCACGGAACCACGTAACGATCGTGTGGAGCGGAGGATCGCGCTGGTTTCGGAGGGAGTCAAGGTGGCGGTTCTGACGGCGACGGTTCTTGAGTTTTCGAAACTCTTCCCCGACGTTGTCCTTCGCCTGTCGTCTGGCCCCAGGCCCTCACACGGATGAACGACCGCCTCAATGCACCAGCGGAAGTGAACAACTAGCTCACCTCCGTCGCTATGTTAAGGTTGTCTTTCATCCATATGGAGGCCTTGAGACAAACCGCCTGGAAGAACGAACGAGTGGGGAAGGCAATGCCCCCGGGAAATTCAGAAACACAAGCTTGTCTCCCGCCGAGATACCAGAGCGATCCTCCGCTCCACACAACCGTTTTTATCAGGGTTCTGCACGGAGCGGTTTTTTTCCACGGAGCGGAGCGGTTTACACCGCTCCGCTCCGCTCCGTGGGATTTTCCCTCCAGAAAAAACCGCTCCGCTCCGCTCCGTGACATGAACAAAAAAACCGCTCCGCTCCGTGACAATTTTGCCCTCGGATAAACCGCTCCGCTCCGCTCCGTGGGGCTTCCCAAAAAACCGCACAAGCGGTTTTTTCACGGAGCGGTTTGAGCTACTCCGTCACACAAGCACGGATAAAACCGCAATGCAGTCACGGTTTTTCCCACGGAGTGACGGTTTTTCTCCCACGGAGTCGCGGTATTTTTCTGTTTTTCTGTTCTACTTTTACAGCAGCCACACAAATAACCGTGCCCACGCACACAGCAGCAGTCCGTGCCACACACACATACACTCCGCGCAACGCACTCCGTGCACATCAGTCCGTGTGCACGTCTGCCTGATGGAGTCGACACCCGACCCTGGCGACCGCCCTTCTGGCGACCGCTCTTCTGGTGCTGCTGGTGCTGGTGCTGGTGCTGGTGCTGGTGCTGGTGCTGGTGCTGCTGGTGCTGGTGGTTCTGCTGCCGCTGGTGCTGCAGCAGCAGCGGCGCAACCTGCAGCCCTGCTGAACACGGTGCGCAGCGTCAAACGCACCGTCATCAACGTAGCAGAGACCGTGGCAAACGGGACTTTGTCGGGAGTTTGGACGTATTTCCAGAAGCTTGACCGGCCGGTGAGCGGCGGGAAGAACACGCGATGCATCGTTCCCGATGAAAATGGGAAGCGAGCAAGGGTGGCCACGACCGCGTACGAGAGGCGTCAGGCGCGGAAGGTCCAGGAGGCAGCAGCTGCGCGGACGAGCGCGCGTAGAGACCAGCCGTCTGTAACGGACCGCGTGCAGAAGGAGGTGGATGAATACACCAAGCTGCCTGCCGCCGTCCCCGCGAAGGACTACGACGTCCTCGGTTTCTGGAGGGATGCCGGCAGCCCGCGTCTTGACCCCCACGGCAACGTTGTTTCTGCCGCACAATTCCCCATCTTGTCCATGCTTGCTCGCGTGTACCTTTGCATTGACAGCACTAGTTGCCAATCAGAGAGGGAGTTTTCGGGGCTAGGATTCGTGTACAACAATCTTCGGCAAGCGATGGTGCCCGACCGGGTCGAGATGGTGATGTTCCTTAGGTCTAACCCCCATCTTATTCCCGAGATCAATAAGTTGGACAACGGGTTGGGGAAGCTGCTTGCAGCGCAGGCTGTTGGGAAGGCTAAAGCTGCATCTGTCCAAGCCGCGAATGCGGGAGAGCAAGTGGTTGTCGATGTCGACTCTGAGTGAACTAGAGGCGTGTTGTATTTGGATGGATACACGAGACGCCTGGCAAGTTTCAACAAGAGGCAAGTGAGATTTCATGTGCTGTTGTACGTGTTGCAGGAACGTATGAACGAGTCGAGGAGGTATCGATGTGAATGGTTCCTCTCTAAATAATAAATTAAGTGAATGATTGACAGCTTTTTTTGTCTTTTTGGGCTGTCCTAGTCGCGAGGACGCATACAGTGTCACCCGCGGCCTCCAACCACAGCACACAGTACGGAACAATCGGTCTTCGGTGCACGAAACCCAACGGTTTTCACGAAATTGCAGGTGCTCCGTCGATTGTGTACGGATATCCGTGCGGTTTCGACGTTTTTTTCCGACGGAAAACCGTGCTCAAAGCCACGGTTTCGCGCGGTTTTTGCTACGGAGTAAAGGAACCGCTCCGTACAAAAAACCGCACTACGGATAAACCGCTCCGCTCCGCTCCGTGGCATGAAAATAAAAACCGCTCCGCTCCGTGAGGCTTTTGCCTTCGGATAAACCGCTCCGCACCGCTCCGTGATAGTTTCAAATGAAAAAAACCGCTCCGCTCCGCTCCGTGGAACTTCAAAGAAAAAAAAAAACGCTCCGCGGAGCGGTTCTACTCCGTGTACAACCCTGGTTTTTATTGGGCCCATCCACCGCCGTGAGCTAGCTCCCGCGTCACGCTTGCACCCTGCCACCTCGAGAGAGTCCTCAATAACCCGCTCGGTGTCGTCGTTCTTCAGAACACAACCCAGCTCATTGTGTAACGACAATGAGCGGCTTACCTACGACGCACGGAACGCTACGACGGCGGTAGCACTGATATTGCTCCGAAAGGAACACGACCCGCTCGTATGTGGTCCTGTCATCGAGGATCTGCATGTATCTCTCTCATGTCCATGGTACCCCTAAAAATTACCGTAACCCCCCAACATCGTACAGATATGGACCTCTAGATGCCCCAAATTCCTCACCGCCTTGCTTTGCTAACTCAAGAGGTTCTATCCGGGGTCAAACGGACGAAACACGTCGGCGGTGTAGCCTCTTTCAATTTTCATTGCGAAGGGGGTTCAGGGTCCTTCACTCAAGTACACTTGCCGGAAAAAAGACGTTCTCCACCACTAGGAACGACAATGAGGAATAGCACGTCTC